ACCATTTTTCGGCTTTGACATGATTCTGACATCTGTCTGAATGTACTGTATTGTAATCACAACACAAGTTAAAAGTTGTTTATGCACAACTACACACTGTATGAAAGGAATGTACACATCCATCTGCAGCCACATTGAAACACAAGTCCTGTAACTAGATTTAGAGCAGTGGTTCTCAAACTGTGGTACGCATACCACCAGTGGTACGCGAGCACTCTCTAGTGGTACGCAGGGGAAAACTCACATTTTCACATTTACATTTTCAATTGAATAAATCTGAAACATACCATGCACAATTAATACAACGTTTAAACATAAACATCTTTATAAACATCTCTCCTGTGTGGGGGAAGCTAATAGGGAAGGCCTATGCTGCTATGTTCTAATGTTGATCATCATGGTGGAACTCAGAGAGCTCAATGTTTAGTAAAATTGTGCTCTGCTCTGTTTTTCATGGCTTTTGTTTGCGACAGCTGTTTAAACCCTGATGCTTGCGTCGATGTCTTACGTAGGCTTCGTATATATTGCCCCAAAATGTTACACATTTCTGACTAGTACCGTAGTCATGACTGGTTTGAGATTAGCTCTCCAAACCAATCACCAAAAGCTTTACTTCAGTAAAAGACTGAAAATATGCATTCCTCGGAAAGTGCACAGATCCAGATTTGTCAAAGACGGCTTAGCGCAGTGATGGATCATGGGTTAGAAAAAGCTGACTTTTCATTTGCCTGTCAGGAGGTTCTGCCTGCTTCAGCATTTTTTATAACACATTAAAAATGAGCAGCTTTGAACTGATCACAAGCAAAGTGTGGAAGTTATAAACAATATAGTTGAATTGTTGCAAAAAAAAAACCAATCAATTTACACACGAGTCTGTGAAACAGCTGTTGTCAAGGTGAGGCGTCGACATAAGTCTTTGAGTGAATGTGATATTTTATCCTAACACTAAACATGTCACAGTTCATTGTTTTCTTCAGGTGATATTTCCTTTATTCCCTGATTCGTCTCTGCTGATATTGAACAGAACAGTGTTGTTATGTGTGTGTCACAGTTGAAAGAAGAAGAGAAACTGAATATGTATTACCTTCTGACTGGTTTAAATGGATTTATTTATCAGCAGTCTGTCTCACCCTGGTGACTGTCAACAACTGTCATCAGAGGAAGTGTCTGTAAAATCACCCTTCCTCCTATACACTAGCATCATTTGAACAACATTAACAAAGAAGATAAAAGAAATAAAAGCCTTGATTAGACTTAGCTCTGGACACTCAGATCAATGACATGTTGTTGTCAGATATTTTGGGATGGAATCTGGGACCAGAGTATTCTATCTGCTACTATTACTACTACAGTACTACAACAAATATAAATTATTTATTTATTATTTATTATTTATAAATTATTATAAGGCACAGTATTCAGAATTTTTCTAACAAAAATAATAATAAAACTTAAAAATTCTTATCCTTTTTTAGATTTGTCCCTCCAGTTTAACTGAAATCTGTGGGAAGTTATTTTAGCAAATTGAAAATTTGGCCAGCACAAATATGTTGCAATTCAAGGCTAAAGTTTTATACAATTTTTAGTTAGCAGCAGAGCCCTGGGTTATACAGGGTTTAGCTAACTGTCATGTTCTCAGAACACCAGTGGACAGACTCTTTCGGCTAATTAGTTGGCTATTAGCTTTTGTGCTTTACTTGAGTTGGATGATTTAATTTTGTTAACAAATAAGTTTACCAACAGTTGGAGTATTCTTGCTGTGGTTGCCTTCAATGTGTACAATAAAATCAATAGTCCATTCATCTTCTACTGTTACGGTTCCCTGGGGAAGCTGCAGCCAGTATAAACTGACATGGTGCAAAAGCTGTGGCTCACAGCGAACATTATCGTCGTCACGGAACAACATATACAGACAAACATAAACCTTGCACTTTCACCCGTTAGTGTTTCATTTGTTGAATGAATGACTAAAGTTTGTTATAAAACACAACATTTTTACAGAGAATTCATGGCCAAAGGCAAACATCCTCAACAGTGAAAAAAAATTCTTAGATTTTTTCTTCATATACCATTTATTTCATTACTGACAATATTGTGAAATTTATAAAAAATTGACGAGTAGTAGGGATACAACCAAAATCAATCATTCTTTCCTGCTGCAAATTATGTCACACAAAGTAGAGCATCGGCTCATACAAAATAAGTAAAAAAAACCCACATTAATAAGTGAAATCACACCATAAGGAAAAGACAGACAGCGATAAGGCAGTAAGGGAGAGATTTCTTCTTTTTTTTTTACTCTGAATGTCAACTACACTTGGTTGCACTTCCTGCCTGTGTCTGTGTCTGTGTCTGTGTCACTCACTTCATTTCTCTCTTCTGTGCCTGGGGTGGATATCAGATAAGGAGATCACCACATTAAAGTAGCACACCTACTTTCCTTTTTCCAAAAGTTAAATTGAGAAACAGTCTCAGCATACAAATGGTACAGATCAAATGGCAGGGGCTTAGGAACCTTATCTCACACAGACAGTCAGTTTAGAGTTGGTAGCTGTTACAGAGGCTCAGGGAGCACTTTGGCTCCACGGATCCTCGCAGCAATCCCTCTGGCTGCTCTGGAAGCAGGTACATATCGCTCATACCAATTTAAGTTTCAACCCCACTGTGCTTTTGTTTTTTTATTAGAAAAGTTGACTTTTCTAGCCATGCATTTGCTACTTTTGCCCAAGTTCTATCCCTATTTTTTTCTGAGGTAAATCCACAGCCCCTTTTGATTTTTGCAGCATTTCTGTTTAAAGTCTTTAAGCCCACACATTTCTATTTCTCACTGCTGTTGCTAAGAAGATGTTTGACTATATTAAATATAAGGCACTTAGACTGGAAGATTCTTTTACATAGAGCCTCTCTGAGTTTCATTTTTAATTTAGAGGTACAGTTGGAGCTGCAGAAAACATACCCTCAAATCTCTCCAGCTGTGTTTAAGTGTTTAATGAGCTACTAATCATACCAACACCTACCTATTTAAACTTTAATATTAGGTTTTTCAAATTTTAAAATGACATAAAACTGTTTTCATATCACAGTGTTGTATGTTTTTGACACAGATCAAATATATACACAGTGTTGTATGTTTTTGACACAGATATACAAATATATGATAGAATTATATGATGGTCTATTGCTTTATGCCTTTTACATCAAGGTACAGTAAAGGGTACACTGTTTTAGAAAATTACCTTCACCGTAGTCTTGGTTTTTGCTGTCTCTGATACATTAGGTTATGACATCTGGAAGTAACTCTAAATTAAGGCTCCAACATTGTTCAAATAGATTTTGCTCATATGGATTTCCTAGAGACAGACTGTAGGTAATCAGCTCACCATCCTTCATGATTCACACACATCCACTCGCAGGAGGAAATGTCGACCAAGGATTTCTTTTTTGTTTTGTTTTGATCTAAAATAACAGTGCGGTACATCGGAGGACAATAGTTTATAAAGCCTCACAAACATAACAAGAGTGGGTGAAAACGATATGGGTGTTGGTAATGGACTATATATATTCCTATGTGACAACCCAGAGTAACAATCAGGCAAAACCCTGATTTTTTCTCAGTTTTACTCTTAAAATAAAAGAAACCACTAACTACAATGGGCTACAGATGTTTATCTAGTAGTACACAAGCTCGTCAGAAAATAGTTTTTCTTTAACATTTTGTGAACTCATCAAAGCACTGGGCATGAAGGAGTAACTTGGTTTAGACTTGATACTGTAGATCATCTTTTGCTTATAAAATACATCGAAGTGGGAGATCAATAAAAACTAGGATGAAAAGTGTTAACAAGAACTACAAACAGATCCACACAGTACACAACATAACGTAGTGACAAACCAAATATTTCAAGTGGTGCGTTTAAAGAGAGATATGTGCAACTAACTGAGCCCAGTCAAAAATATAGTGTTTAAAAAGACATTCACTAGATTTCTGCACAGACTGTGAGTCTGCAGACCTGAATATACTTATTTCCAGCTAAACACAGGTTTTAGAGCCACACAGAAAAAATGCTAAGACGAGGGGACTAAAAGACAAAGCCGACTGGATGTGTATTATTTTGTCAAATGACAAAGTACTGTGGAAGCTCTAAGACGTAAAGGTGCCAAAAGGATAAGATAAGAAACAGTTAATAGGCTTTGGGTTTTATGACTAATTTTAGATCCCTGTGTTGTACTCTGGATCGGAATATAATGTCCATTTAAATTGTTAACCATTCTGACACATTGTTCCACAGGAATATTGTGTGACACACTCAGCCAATACCACCAGCCGTGAGTCAGAATAATTGGGGGATGTGAGAGCGTCTCAGTGAAAATGTCAAATTACTTACACTGTTTCAGACGTTGCACGCAGGGTGTACTTGAGGAGGGGCTGCCTACATGTACAGATACACACATGCAATCTGGAAAAGACAATAGGACATTTAATTTGTACCAATTTAGAAAACCTGTTTCAAATATATTTCTATCACTATTTCTAGAAAACACACCCTTATGTTTGTATAAGGATGTGTTGCCTAGAAATAGCGGTAAAAAGTGGTTAAAAAAAGAAGAGAGAAACATTGCAATGAGCTGATGGTTTGAATGAGTTTTGAGTGTTACAACAGCTGAGTCACAGACACCTACAGTAACTGCATGTACAAACACTTTTATATATCTAGCTTTTGTCACCCAAAGCCTTTATTTATAATATGCTGTGTGACCATGCATATAAATCAAAATGACACAGAACTTTAGTTAAATAATGAAGACCTTATTTAAACTTTAGGATTGGTAACCTAGAGATTACATGCACTGTAGATGTAGCCTAAATTTTCCCAAGCTCTTAGCAAATCATCATAGATGACAAACTAAAGCAGAAAATATTCAACGTTTACTGCAAATACTTCCATATACGTTACTACTTAAATGGCCATTATGACATTATGGTTTATTTAACAAGAGGAAATTAACAAATGGCATTTTTACTGGGATGGCCAATGAATCTTTAACTTGTTCTGCCACTAGTATTTTCTGTTGTCTCAATAAAATTGTTTTATAATCTTTTATTTTATCGTATTCGACCTTCACGCAAAAAGAAAGGATCGAGTTTTGATTGGTTCAAGGGACATCTCAAAGGTCTCGTCATGTCTCGCGATATTAAACATCCTTCCCATCATAGACAGTGTAAGCGGATCAGCAGCTGCACTCAGTCGTTGTTGTGGCTGGTGGAGGCACCACAATCACGCAAGCTCACTGCTTTTACTCTAGTCAGTCTGCGATATAGCAGGGCTGTTTGAAACTAACGCACGAACCCGAGTCAGCTCGCCTGGACGTTTGTGACCAACCTCCCGTTCCTCAGGATAGATGTGTTTCTCCAGGTAAGGCTGCTAACGTGTCGACTTTTAGGCAGACACTCACATGCAGTGCTAGCTGATATTTACACACATTATACCGAGATTACACTCCTAGAAACGTCTTAAACTATCACTGTTTCTTATTTTCACCATAGTCGCACCTTCTTCTGAACCTTTTTTTGGTGAAACACTTGAATGTTTGTGTGAATTTAACACTCAGTTTCGTGGACCTGTGTGCTCAGTAGCAAGGAGGGAGTGCAGTAACTTCTAAGCTTCACTGTTGACTGGCTCTGTTAAAAGCATCACCTCGTTAGCTTCTGTGCTAACAGCACGATTTCTCTTAATAAACAGTTTTCCCACAAATAAGTTTCTTGTATCTTCTCGAGAATATAAACGCGTTTTAGTTCAGTGTCCTGCAGGAGAGCCTGTGAGGAGGTGGCCACACAAGGAAGCCATGACGGGTGTGTGTGTGTTTGCGTGCGCGCCCATGTATGTATGCGTGCGTGTGTGTGTTCTTTTCAACAGACTTCAATAGACGGACTAAACCAAACTTTTGTCATATTTAATTAGCATAGTTTCTATGCTATTTTTGGGCGTTTAACGCCACACATTTTCAACAATGTTGAAGAAGCACTGTTAAGAAGTTTGTCCAAATACAATTTAAGAATATGTATTATTGTACTGCCAGATTGTTCTGCGCATTTTACACAACCTGGATTGCAGGACCTAAATGCAAAGATTACATTATTACTTTACTAATTTTTCACATCAACATATTAGTCATGTGGTCACTAAAATAGTCCCTTGGTTAAAAATGTTAATCACTTTTTTTTTTGTGACCTGATATTTATGGTTATACAATTTATTCAAACTTTTGATAACTGCTACTTCCTTGGTTTCCAATTTGATTGAAACGCAACCTAAATTGTGAAACCGGTTGCTCTGGAATTATTACATTAATACTTAATGATAACAGGCCAGAGATGAGTAATATGATGAAAAGTTCTTATCACAATAATTTAGGACATGTTATACAATATCACAGGCACTGTACTGCAAATATAAACAGGTTAAAAATGTAAAAAAAAATCTATGTGGATCTATATGATTTATGTCTATAAATCGTTTCCAGCTTTTCCCTTTTTTATGGGCCACCACATTTGATTTGCCACTGTGTGTATGCTGGTCGCCCTTGCTGATGCAACCCTCTCATTAGGTTTGCGAGTTGGAGACTAGGAGGATTTTGACATTGGACAAAGCGAGAAATCTAGAAGTATTTAAAGATCTGTTCAACTTAAACCTGTTTCTTCTTTACATTTAAAAAGTCTAGATCTTTAGATGGGAACAAAACATTAGTCAGACACATATTTTCTTACAGTATAGTTTTAAAATCCATTTGGTTTTAAGAGAAAACATAAGAGGGACATAATGGGTGACAGCAGTAAACCAGCTCAGTGAACTGTATGTTTTCTGAGAACATGAATTCCTCCCCAGAGAAATTATCTCAGTATGTTTATGAACGTGGAGTGTCTTTTTTTAAACCCACTGTTGCTCACCTGATGCCATGCAACCTGCTGTGGCTGCACAACCTGCAACAAGGTAGTTCTGCAACCCTTCAAAACAGTTTTTTTTACAAATGTCTGGACATTTTCCACATGATTTGTGTTTAATGTAAAAAGGAAATAAAAATCAAAACCTTTATTAACTCTATTATCCTGTTAAACAGATAAAGGTAAAGTATGGCTGCACACCTTGACCCGGTGTCTGAAGGATAGATTGTAAATGAAATATGCTTAGAAAAAATTGACATGACAATGAGCATTATATTCATTAAATAAATACATTTTAGTATTTATTTTTATAAGAGATTTTATTTTTATTACAGTTGACACTAACTGCAAATATATATTTATTCTAATAGTTTTTTAGAGTTAGTTTTTTAAAACAGCAATAATAATTATATATTGTACCCTTGTTTTAGGCCACTTTCTTTGTGTTGAATGAAGTTTGTAATAAACAGGTTTTCAGGTTGCTCTCCACCTGGATAGCCAAATATGTAAACCCATTAGAAGCCCTATTTTTAAATGTATAAATCACTTTTACAGCTTAAATATATGTTGTTTTCTATTGTATGGTCATTCACTAGGCAGGGGTACTACTACATGGTATAACCAGCACTAGTTAGTGAGTGCTACTCATTGTACTTGTGTTTCACTCCTAAGTAGGGTGCAGCTCTAATAATTCATAGCCTATAATCCCCAAAAGTAATGTAATGGAGATGATGAACTTTGGCTTTACTCCTGTAACCTGCCTGACTGTGAGCTACACCTACCCAAGTCTAACCATCACAAATACAAGTCACTTATAATATAGAATGAGATTTTCACAGTGACCTATTATTACTTAAGTATAACTTAAGAGATCTGCTGCATACAAAGCACATTTTCACATCTAAATACTTGCATTTATGTGTCTGTAGTTAATATAACAAAATAGTGTTAGTAATTATGTAATGAATTCCTATTCCTAGTTTGCTGTATTCACTGGTTCAAAAGAAAACTTTAATTTTGAAAAGTTTTGACCTTTAATCAACTAATGCAATCTCTTCTACGTTTATTCTCAGCGGCTCGTATTTCTTTATGGCACTCTGTTGATATTTACTCCAGTGTAAATAGGATGCAAAAATATGGACAATTTGAAAACTTGCCACAACCAGAAATTTCATGCCCTTTACCTTGAGCTATACACGGCTTTGAAATGCACAGACCTTCACTCTTGGAAAGTAATCATTCAGTCACTGTTATCAATCCACAGATCTGTCCACCTCTCATAGATGGATTTAGGCCATTTTTGCTGTGGTACAAAATGTACCTCAGAAGTTTCTCTTCCTGTCCAACCTGCCACGCTGAATGATGTTGATCTTATTATATTTCACACTACAGATCTTTCTTTTTAATATTTTGTAAGTTTTAAAGTTACTAAGAGTGTCGTCCATTATATGTTGGGGAATCAAACTTATTCAACTTCGGTCTCATTTTGCATTTTGTCTCATAAAGATGAAATGTGTGGCTTTGGTTTATTCTGACTTCTGATTTATTATAGACAATGATACCACTCTCCTGCTTTGAAATGTTGCTGTTTTGTGTTGTCAAATATCTGGTTTCCTGGGAAATCATATTGATACAACATAATGCCATCAAAATGGTATGGTGAGGATTGTGACGTGTATCACAAAATAATAAATGGTGTTTGATAGCAGGCAAGTGGGCCTTGTATGGCCATATTTTAATTCAAGGTTACCTTAAAAAGATACTAAAAATTTAAGAACACATCAGGTGTGATCTGCGGTGTTGAGTGCTGTTTTACGTCTATACCTGGATTTATTGTTGATGTATGTCCTTCCAAGCCATTTGAGTCTCCTCCCTCATGAGTGTCCTTAATCAGCACATTCACTGCACTGCCACAGTACGGTCAAGTGTCCTTGCTGAAGTTTCCCCTAATTCCCTTTTTTTCTCTTTCCCCTTTTTTTTTCAAGTACCTTGAGTAGTTTGGAGTGCTATTAGATGTTACTTTGGTATTGTAAAAACTTCACACATTGTACTGTTTTTGCAGTGTTTATATAAAAAAAGTAGCAGCAATTTTGCAAACACTTGTGCTGCCCGTAGCATGTCTAGGCTTCTTTAGTCAACACAGTCGCAATGGAATTTTTTTTTTTCATGATTTCAAGTTGTTACATGTTGTCTCGTAGTTACACGTAGTCTTGGAAGTTGGCTGAAAAGAAAACATTTGTCTCAAAAATGTTGCCAATCTGTTAGGTTGCACTTTAATTATTCAACCTCTGATAAAAATTGCAGCTGCATTTGTCTATATAGCTACATTGTTTCTTGTGTTCTACAGTATTTGAAACTGAAGAACCTAAACATCTGATGGATTAAGCCTTCTTAGAAAATAACTTTGAATCTGTGCTGAGTGCCTTGATCTGGGATGTAGAGCAGACAAATACCCTGGTGCCCCACGGTGCTTTATAATAGGCTTATACTGTAGAAAATGTTCTTCATGTGAGACTCTTCCTAAAGCTTTAGTCTCTGTACTAAATATACTCAACAATGACTAGTGTTTTCATTCTGTCTTTATAAATTTATAACTAAAATATAAGCTTTAAAAACCTAGGGAGAAAAATAATTAGAATACGTGGGGAAACCTAGTTGGTGTCACTAATATTTACACTTATAGACTTGAAATAATGAGAGAAATCACACTACGTTAGTGTTTCTAGGTGCGTGATAGGCTTTCCAGGTGCGGCAATCAACATTTAATCTTACCTACAGGTTTAAAAAGGCTTACTATTCTTTTGGTTTTGGTTTGTCAGAAATTCTTTCGTGATCAATTCTGAAATATTATTAATATCAAAAATTTAGCAGGAGGCTATAGAATTCACTTGTATGGTATACTCTTCATGAAATTGTTTTAATTTCTGCAATACAATTAATGTCAGGCCTGGTTAATTTATTGTAGGCCTGCAATTAAACTTTTGTCTGCTTCTGCTAATAATTTTTAACAAAGCTATTATACTGTTGTAGTCTTTCACTTTTTGTATGCATGGGGCTGAAGAGTTCAACATTCAACAAGCCTTCCATAATACTGCCTTTGTTCATTTGTGTTCCATCTGTTTTTGTTCTGGCCCACACTCTTTTGTTAACTTTAGACAGGGGGTTGAGTGAGTCCAAGAGGTTCAGTCTCACTAAAGGGCGCTGTTGTTTTTAAACACTGACCCTATGGCCCTACAGTACATCCAATATCTGTGTCCCCATTACATTCCACTCATGTGTGCATACTTCATAACAATAACCCTCCCCCGCTTCTTCCTTTATACCTCATTGCAATACTAAGCTCCTGCCATCCAATACAAAAGAATGTGACCCCAGATTCCCTGTGGCAAGCAGACAACTGTCATCCTCTCTCTACTTGTCCATAATTTTTAGCTTTTTGGAAAATGAGTTTTCCACAGAAATCTTTCTGATAAT